CTACCAATCCTTGGGTTAGGGAAAGAGATCAGCCCTGCGGCCCCTCATTCCCTGCAGGAAGCACATTGCTATGCAGCCAGCGAAGGTCAGGATCGTCATTCTTTAGCACCTACTTTTAACTCATTTCACGTTGCAGGTCAAGAAAATGAAATGTTCAATCTCTGTGGGACACAGTTGCAAGGTTACCATGGCAGCAATCATGCAAAATGGGGGAGCAACTGATAAAACGTGAGGAGGGCTGCCCTGCAGGTCTGTGCGCGACCCTCCCTTTGCCTGAAAGGTACGGCCACCAGCTCACTGTGGTGGGGCCTGGGTGAAGGGGCTGGTTCAGGTGTCTGGGTTTAGGACTACTCTGGGGAAACACAAGTTGGGCTGAAATGAGTCACGACCCCAGGAAAATCTCGCAAAGGTGTGTCATTCACTGCAGGTTCCCTCAGGGACACACCACCCCTGCCTTCTCCGTGCGCTCTGCCCTCCATCCCGGCCTGAGATGGACATCATTCCGTCCTTCCCCCACAGGATGCTCTTCTCTCCCCGTTTCTTGCTTTGGAAACATCTGCTTGTGAGCGGTCAGTCAGCCTCAGACAGAGGATAATTTGTGACAGAATGTGGTTGCAACTGATAGCTTGGTTTTTTCCCCCTTTACCCAAATCTATGACCGTAAGAGTGTAATTTACAAACTGCTTGGCAAAAGAGTTGTTATAATATTTCCCCTTCCGTTTTATTTTCTTGCCGGGTTTCTAACGGTGTAAACTTTTATTCTTTTTTTCTTGGTATAAATTCTAATTCTTCACGGAAAGGTGTTTTTATTCTCTTCTACTGTGCATCCTGCTTAGAGGTTACTGCACATGTAGCTCCTTTTAAAGAGAATAAATTCAAATGTATGCATTTCACAGTGGGCATTATCTAGGCTTGGACGTATTCATTAAAATGATAAATAAGCTAAATTTTCAGGGGGAAGGAGAATGAACGTCATCTCCGCAGATGCCCACGCTGCTGACTCCCAGTGACAGCTCCGGGTGTGTTGTTTTGTTTTGATGACCAAAAAAAGTTTTTTTAAAAAAAGGATGGTATTCCAGTGATCCTGCGTTATTTAACGTTTCAGATATAATGTCTAACGTGAAAACTCTCAAAAGAAAGGGAGCGATTAGCCAATGCAGTGTTTGGCTGGTTTTCAACTTGGCAGGAAACAGTCCGTCTTGGTCCAGTGTTGGACGTTAAATTCAGTAACAGCAGCTCTCAGGCTGAGAACTGGATGTACTCAGCCACTGGCTTGAGGGTCTGGGCCCAGTTCTGACCACTGAACAGGCTGCATAAATTTCCCCCGAAGACCCACGGACACCAGCCCAGAAGGACACGGAGGCATCACTGCTGCCTGGAGTGGCTGAGCCCCCAGGGCAAGGTCTTCCTCTCTTGAGCAAATGGAAAGCCTTTCTAGAGGGAAGGGAGGGGGGCGTGGCTACCCAGAACCTCTGCACGATGGTGACTAGGGCTGGCTGCCCTTGACTGTGGGGGAAATCAGTAATACTCTCCATTTATACATCAAGAGTTTATTGCACATCCAACGATGTGCGGTGTGCTGTTCTAGAAACACAGCAGTGAGCACATGGGTAAAACAAAAGCCTCTCCCCTTGTGGAAATTAGATTCCTGTGGGACGCAGACCCAGAGGTAAACGATACTGTGCAGGTTGTCAATTGGTGCTTGTGCTACAGAGAAACCCGTGTTGGGTGGGGATGGTAGGGCAGGGCGGTTGCCGCTGAGCTCCAAGATGGGCTATCAGAGAAGAATTACTGAGAAATAACATGTGAGCAGAGACCAGAAAGAGGAAGGGGTGTGAGGTACGCTGACACCCAGGGAGGACAGTGGAAAGAAAAAGTTTAAAGCTACAAGACGAGACTGTGAAACACTGAGGTGTGACTGGAGTGGATATGCCGGGGAAAATGGGGGGCACAAGGACAGACTTGGGGGCACCTCAAGAGATCCTGGAAGGACTTTGCTTTTCCTCTGCACGAGATGGGAGCTACGGGGGTATTCGAAGTGGAGGAGGGATGTGATCTGGCTTAGCTTTCAACAGGATCACGTAGGATCACCAGGGTCACTGGTGGCAGTGTTTAGAACAGACCGTCGGGGGTCAACAGTGAAAACAGGTATGTCAGTTATGAGGCTATTGCGATAATCCACACAAGAGATTAGGATGGTCTGGAATAAGATGGCAGTGGAGGTTGTGAGACATGGTCACACTTGAGGTCTATTTTGACGGTCCAGCCATCAGTATTTGTCCATGAACTGGATGGAGGGTGTGTTGATACAACATCCAGGTTTCTGGGAAGAGTGACTGGAAAGATGGGGTTACCATGTCCTGGGATGCAGAGGACTTGGAGGGGCAGGTGTGGAAGGGTAGGTGGGGAAATCAGGAATTTGGTTTTGGACAAGTTAGTTTTGAGATACTAGACACCCAAAGGGATCTCAAGTAGGCTGTGGGGCATAAAGGGGAGAGGTCTAGACTTGGGGTGAACATTTGGGGGGATGCCAGCAAAACGATGGTCTTTAAAGCCATGAGACTCAGGAGGGTACCTGGGAGGTGAAGAGAGAGGGTGTGTCACGAGGAGGGACCAGTAATGGAGACGAAAAGGAATGGCAGATTGAGGGAGGGGGGGAGGAT